CTGGAAAGTTGGTTCAAAAAATTAGCAGTATAATTAGTTGGAGAAAAGGATTGTATACAGGAGTATAAGATATAAGGTAGGCTGCAGCCAAATTTTGCAGGCCCTATTTTATAGGCAGTTGGGATAAGGGGGCTGAAGGTTTTTGAGCAGTGAGGTGGCCAGAGCAGTGCTTTCGAGAGCTCAACTTGGTGGGGTGACAGTTTGAAGGAAGGAATGCCAGACGCAGGGAAAACCATTAGGAGACTATATTTATTTGCTATTGGTGCTATAGTAATATTGCCACATACTTACTTAAAACAACACACATTAATTATACCCCAGCTTCTGTGGGCCAGCAAGTCCAAGCACAGCTCAGCTAGGCCCCCCGCCTAGAGTCTCACGAGGCTAGAATGTTCACTTGGGCTGTGGTTGTATCTGAGGCTCAGCTAAGGAAGATCTTGTTAGCCGAATTCAGTAACTTTGGTACCAAGGACTTCAGTTTCTTGCTGTTAATGAAAGGCTACCCCCAGCTCCTAAAGACTTCTCTCAGTCCCTCCCATGAGCATCCCAACACTGGCATCCCATCATGTACCAGCTTACTTTTTCAAAGCCAGCAAGGGAGTGAGAGACTTCCGTGGAGAAGCTTACATAATCACATACGTCCTGTCACTTCAGCCACATTCTGTTAGAAACAAGTCACAGGTCACTCCCACACTCAAGGAGAGAGGACTAGAGAAGAGGGTCGAGTATCAGGAAATGGATCACAGAGAGACTACTCCAGAGTCTGCCAAAGAGACAAATGCAGTTGATGAGACAAACTGTCTGAATCGGGGCAGTATTAACGCAAATAGAAAAGGCAGATTCAAGAAAATATGTCTAGGCAATATAATTATGAATTTTTACCCACATCATGTGAAGTTCTTTGCATACATCATCTCATGTAAGCCTCAAAATAACTATATGAGGTAGGTGCCAGGAAAACCCTTATTTCACAGATGAGGACACAGGCTTTGAAAAGTTAAGTACCTGGGTCACAAATATCCCAGCTTCAAATCTGGGTGTCCCAACCTAGATTTGAACATAGGGATGTCAGTCCCAGAGCTCATAGTCTTAGCCACTCTTCTTTAATTGGACTTAAAAGTATAGAGGATATCAAGAAAGATGGGTAAGAAAATATTGAAGATAACTGCAAGAGTTTAACCCATTTCAACTCAGGGAGTGGTGGTGGTATCGAAAACAGAAATGTCATGAGAGGCACTATTACACTGATACTACTGTGCATACACTACATGCCGAGCAGTGTGCTAAGCACTCAGTATGCATTACACAGTTAATGTTCCAACAGCCTGTGATAATAGTGGATATTCAGCAGATACCCAAATTCCATCAATGGAGCATGAGAAAAAAAGTCAACGCTAGAAGAAACTATCAGGGAGCATCCATGTGGAGACTATCAATCTCTAAAATTAGATGAGATGGGTGTGAAGGTGATCTAGCAGTGATATGTCACCCCACTGATGGCCACGGTTTGATTTGGCTGATTTGGTGGCTAGACATGTGTCCCATTTCTCACCCTTCCATGTGCATCTCTCCTGTAGCTGTACACTCAAAGAGGATGACCTTCCCAGATATTGTTCTTCCATCAAGGGTATATGAGAAGTGTGCACCTGTCAGAACCTCCAAACAAGCTCTCAAGTTCAATTTGTAGGAGAATGTAGGATAGTCAAGATTCCAAGACTCCAGACACATCCCAGTGAGGCACTGCATATGGCAGTCTTCCTTTCTTTTAAAAATTTAATTACAATTAGATGATATGTTTAAGAGACAAGGGACAGACCCCACAATAGAACCTTAAAAACACCTTTATTTAGAGGTTGAGGGGAGGAAGAGACACTTTAAACAGCAATGAAGACATATATATCAGAGGGAGAAGATGAAGATATAACTGTAAAAAGCAAAGGGGAAAGAGAAGAAAAAAGATCTGTCAGCAATATCAAGCACCAGAAAGTAATCAAAGAACTTCAAAATCAAGGCATTTGGGGGTTAGAAGGTCTAACTTTTGGGTGAGTAGATTCAGGAAAACAGAGCCTGAGTGAGTCTGAGGCTCAGCTAAGGAAGATCTTGTTAGCCGAATTCAGTAACTGAACAGTAATTCAGTCAGCTGGCCTATGGGTGGACGGGGGAGCTGGCCTAGGAAGGAAAGAGTAGGTTGTTAGGTTGTTAAGGATGAAGAGTTCACCAGTATAAATTTCTCTGTAATTGCAGATGAACTAGTAGTGTAATACGAGAGGGGTTGAACAGTTGAGTAGCAGCAAGCTTGTGCGTCATAAATAGAAGGGAAGGCTCATGTCAGAAAAAACTGAAAATGGCAGAAAGAGACAGACTGCTGATGGAACGTGACCCCAGCAGAGACAGAAGGAGAAGGAGGTACAGGTCCTCAGAAAAGGCAAGAGACACGTTACTAATGTAGGTGTTAGGAGAAGAGCCCTGAAAGAAAATGCAGAAAAACAAGAGGTTCAAGAGAGTAAAATTGAGGGTGTTCAAATTGAACGTCCTCCATTTTCTCTTAAAGAAGAACCCAAGTTCATAGTAGTGAGAAAGAAGGAAAGATTTCAGTACTGGAAGATAGTACATATTTTAATTAATTGATACAACAGATGAGCAAAGTTTAGCCCAGTGGTAATCGAAGGCAGTTAAATGGGACTGTGCGTGGTTGGAAACTGACATCGTGAGGATGGCAGATAAGCTTGGAGGAAGGAAAGATGGATTGTAGAGACCGGTGGACTATTGGCATGGTCTACACTGAGTGATGAGGTTAAGTGAAAGCTGAGTGGAGTTTAGAATCTAAAGACTGTGATTTGGGTGTGGAGGAAGTTATCAGAAATGAGGAAGTAGAATGCTTGTTATCAGAAAAGGAATGCTGAGACCTTGAAGTAAAATAGTTCCAAATCAAGCAAACTATAAAGTGCCCTCTTGCAGTTTCAGAGGCTAAATAAAGAACTATTAAGCCAAAGTATTATAGGGGCCAGAAGTAAAAATAAACAGCTGTGGCAGAGAATGTGAGGGGGTAGAGGATATGACTGACCAGGCACTCAACTCAGAAAGACAAGGTGGGGTGTTATGATGGAGGTAGTAGACCAGCAAGGACAGGGCTTAAATGTTAAGGTTCAAACATAAGAGGTTGATAGAGGCAGAACACTAGTCTAAAAATGACAATGAGGGCAAGAATGTTTGTGAGGCTGGTTGTGTCTTCATGGGCAATTCCAGTTTCAATTAAGGTAAAGAATTGGAAGTTTAACTTGAGAGTCAGTCTAAGTCCAGAGGAGACTTTGCTTGACAATAGAACTAGGAGGCCAAGTCACTAGGGAGTGACTGAGACAGAAGCAAGGACACACACAGGAAGGGAAAGTGTTAGTTGGGATCAGATAGAAGCACTGTTCCCTCCCCACATCTGCACCATCACCTGTTTACAAGGGACCCTTCTAATCCTTAAAATAAGGCATTATCCCCATTTTACAGATGGAAAAAAAAAAATCTGGTTTGGGAATTTGAATCTTGTCCTGACTGCAAATTCTAAGGTCTTTCTACCACAACAGACTCTCAGTCTTAAAGTGTTACTATAGCTTTCAAGGACTAACTGGAAATCGTGTCTGACTTATATAAAGTGGGTATAAAACACAATGTGGTTTTTTTTATTGAGATATAATTAACCTACAACATTGTATTAGTTTCAGGTGGACAACATGATTTGGCATTAAACATCCATCATCATACATTATTTACAAATGTTTCTTGTCATGAGACCTTTTAAGACCTACTCTCTTAGCAACTTTCAAACATGCAATGCAGTATTATTAACGGTAGTGGCCATGCAGTTCATTATCTTCCATGACTTATTTTTTAACTGGAAGTTTGTACCTTTTGATCCATTTCAATTCTCCAAACTCTGTGCCCCAGCAACCACAAATCTGTTCTCCGTATCTATGACTATAGCTCAGTATTTTTGTTTAGATTGCACATACAAGATCATACGGTAGTATTCCACGTAGCATAATGCCCTCAAGGTCCACCCATATTGTTACAAATGGCAAAAATTCCTTCTTTTTTAAGGCTGAATAATATGTGTGTGTGTATGTACACACATTTTCTTTATCCATTCATCCATCAGTGGACACTCAGGTTACTTTCATGTCCTATTGTAAATGATGCTGCAGTGAACACGCAGGCGGATATATCTTTTAAGTTAGTGTTTTCGTTTTCTTCAGATAAATACCCAGAAGTTGGATTGCCAAATTATATGGTAATTTTGTTTTTAATTTTTTGAGGAACCTCCATCCTGTTTTCCATAGTGGCTGCACCAATACACATTCTCATCAGTCGTGCACAAGGGTTCCTCATTCTCTACATCCCCACCAACACTTGGTATTCATCTTTTTGATGGTAGCCATTCTAACAGGTGGGAGGTAATATTTCATTGTGCTTTTGATTTGTATTTCCCTGATGATTAATGATGTTGAACACCTTTTCGTGTACCTGTCATCTATATGTCTCCTTTAGGAAAATGTCCATTTAGATCCTCTGACCATTTATTTTATTTATTTTTAGTGAGAGAGAGTGGGGAGGGGACAGGGAAAGGGAGAGAGAATCTCCACTGAGCGTGGAGCCTGACTTGCATGGCTCAATCTCAGGACCCTGAGATCATGACCTGAGCCAAAACCAAGAATCAGATGCTCAATCAGGTGTATCCCCCCGACCATTTTTTAATTGGATTGTTTTTTTGCTGTTGAGTTGTACACACAGTATATTTCTTTTTCTCTTGAGTTATATTCAGATCTAAGATGTTCTATATGAGCTTTACAACGAATACTGTATATTTAAATCTTAATTTTTTTTCAAGAAAAACATCTTGGACCCTTTTCCTTAAGGATATTAAGGAACTTTCAGATATTTCCAAGGTAAGCACATTGAATTTCTGCAACTATACCCTAAAACATTAATACTTATATTGCATTATTTTTCAGGTGTGAGAATGAAACCAAATTTAAAACAGAAGAAGTATTTTGGGCTTACAATTTCTGCCCTACGCCATACTCCTGGACTGCACTTCTGGGCCTTATTTTATATCTTGTTTTCTTCGCACCTGGTAAACAAAGGCTTTGTGTTGTTGTGTTATTTAAAGTGTCTCTTTTTAGAGGAGACAAACTACTCTTTTTCAAATTCCTTATAAACTACTTACTGAAATTTTTAGTTTTATGTTTTTCTCAGGAATGGGACCAATGCCTTGGACTGTGAATTCTGAAATATATCCCCTTTGGGCAAGAAGTACAGGAAATGCATGTTCATCTGGAATAAATTGGATTTTCAACGTTCTGGTTTCACTGACATTTTTACACACAGCAGAGTATCTTACATACTATGGTAAGAGACTATTTTTCCCATCTATAGTTTTTTTATTTTTCTTCCTCTTTTTATATATGGTATCATTTGTGTTTAAAAGTATAGTGGTTATATTTTTGCTATTATAAGTAATCTCTATGTGGGTCTCTCATTCCCCAAAGGCCTTGAAAATGTACTTGGAAAAGATAAAAAGAATTCTCCTTTCCTAAGCAGGATTGCTTCTTGTCCCTCAGTGCTTTATAGCCTTCTCCCACCTTCCAACCCAAACTTCTCCCAGCTATCTCCCTAGTTGGAATTCTTCACAGCAGTGCTTTTAGTTTAATGAAGAAACATAAAACAAGAGAGATGGCAGAAAGGATGCAGACAGGGAATGTAAGGGCTAATGCTTGAAGATGTCTCATGACGGAGATGGGAGTCATGTCCAAGGAGCTCCCCCAAAGGTCGTGCTGTGATTTGTGCCTTCCAGGATGTCATCTGTGCTGTTCAGGTCATGGCATATTAATTTCAGTGTCCACTCAGAGCAGCACCCACCACTGCCTGAAGCATAAACCTGACAGCAGAAATGTGTGGACCATAACTCAAAACAGTATTAGGAAGTGGCTGAGTCAGGAAAAAACTTCTAAAATGAAACTTTACTAAAATGGCAAGATTTTCTCTCTAGCAACAGAATTTCTTCATTATGAGTTTATAGTTTATAGGATTCTAAAAGATGAAACGTGAGGTTTTTATTCTACTCTCCCCATAAGTCTCTGTATGTATATGGAGTGTCTCTTGCTTATGCCATTCTCTGGTCCCTTCCCCATCGCACACCCCTCACAGTTGGACCATAAATGTTTGGAGCTCAGGCCAGGACTTATGCCTTGTTCACCATTATATTCCCAATGCCTTCCAGGGCATCCTGTTCATTTGATAAGCACTCAGAAGTGTCTGTCAAATGAATAAATATGCAGAAGAATTTTGAATATGAGGAAACATTATACAAATCTATTCCCCTTCTCTCTTCTGAACATCCTGTATTGGTATTTACTTTTATTATCTTTATAAAACTCTTTGTTTCTCCCAATGAACATTTAGAAATTTAGAAACATTTTATTAAAAAACTTAATACACTGGCATTTGAAACTGGATATGCATTTTGTATATTCAGTTTTAACCCAATGGCAATTAAAGCTTTTTACATAAATTCAGAAACTAGTCTTTTTGAGAACATAAATTTTACACAATAAATATTTACCCATATTTGCTAATTCTTGAGAATGCTTAATTTTTTTGTTTTGGAGAATTCTTAAATATTTAAAGACCTAAATATAGATTAACATCCTGAGAAAGTATTTTTTATTAAGTCATAGACCAAAAGTCTACAAGGCAAGGCTTTTGTTACCAAAGCTCCTCTCAAATATATGCTGCCCGAAACAACATGAGGCAACAGAAGTAAAATTTAAATAGGGCATAGCCAGGCTTCTTTCAGAAATATCCAGTTAGAACAAACTGGCGGTTGCCAGAGGGGTGGGGAATAGGGGGAGATGATTGGTAGGAGGTACAGGCTTTCAATAATGGAATGAGTAAGTCAGGGAGATGAAAAGTACAGCATAGGGCATATGGTCAGTGGTACTATAATAGTGCCGTATGGTGACAGATGGCAGCTATACTTGTGAGCACACCATAAGGTACAGAGTTGTGGAATCACTATGTTGCACACCTGAAACTAATGTAAATTGTGTCAACTGCGCTTCCATTTAAAATATATAAATATAAACATTTTTATATATACAAAATATTTTTAATATAAAATGTTAAATTTAATATTTTAATATATAATTTAAAAACTATATATATCCAGTTAGAAGCAGCTTTTTGCTTTGCATTAAGCCAAGCTTCTGTTAAGTCGGCACACTGGTCCATTAGGTCTACTGCTTGATAGTAGTGGAACAATATTTAAGTTCAGGTGAAGTTTTTTCCCTGTTTTTGGATTTGAATTTTAATCTACATGTTACTGATTTATGTAAGATACATGTTTCTATTCCTGATTTAACAAACACATACCATAATGAAGTATTTCTCTTGAAATATGCAGGTCTTTTATTTCCTCCTTATTTCATAAGACCTCAAATTTTGTTTCCTTTCTAAACTATACCACTTAGAAAGGTCTGCCTTGGACCCCATTCACTAACGTTTATTACTAAAAGCTGTCACCAGTATACCATTTTATGTATAGCACTGTGAGTACTAAATACCAAATCTACTAAATAGATCCCTTGGAAAGCACTATATCAAAGTTCCTGTACTGAGATACTGAAATTCAGTCACACATGATCTTTGATTCCTCATTCTGTATAATTCAATTAAATATTTGTGTTAAATCTGAAACTTAATATAGGACTCTAATAAGATTTATTTTCTTCAGAATAAAGCAGAGGAATATCTGCACTTAACAATCCTGGCTCATTACAGACTTTTTTTTTTTCCACTTTCATTCCAAGGAGAAATAAGTAAGTTTACATAACTGACCTGGCCCTTACTTAGAGCAGGTCACAGCCCCCCCACTGCTGGCCCCTGCCTCTGGGGCTGAACCACAGGTCTCACCAGTGGGGCACCCTTAGGAAGTTTTGGTATTTCCCTGCTTTGCGTTCTTTAGATTCTATAAAAGGGTCTTGTATTTTAATAGGATTTTCTTGATGTTTGGCTTGGGAATCTGGGTCACAAGCAAAAAGCCACGCCTTTAAGAATCTTTAATCCATGTAATTGTTTTTAACTGTAGGGGTTGAGCACTGATAGATTTGATTTGTTATTTTTCTTTATGCCACTGTTCCTAAATTGTGAAACATGATTATATTTTATAAAGCCAAACCTAGTTTGCTCTGTTAGAGATTTTGGAGTTTAGCAGCCTGATTTAGTCTAAAATGTTTTACCATCTGCACTTATTTTTTCTGTGTTATCATCATCATGATTACCATCCTTTCTTTGTCCCTTCCTGCTAAAGGTCCCATTTCTCTTCCCACAAATTTCACTTCTCTGTAATCAAACACAGTACTTTATCTCCTTTCATTTTTTTCCCTAAATCCCCACATTATTCTAAGACCTAGCTTGTCGGTATCACCTTTTTCATGAAAACTTTCCCAAGTTTTAAGTCCTACTAATGTCATTCTATTCTAATAGCAACACTTCTTCCTTAATCATTTAGTTGAATTTGATAACGCTATCCCTTTTTTGGGTAACCAACCTCCAGAATTCTAATAGGCATGTAACATACATTATTTCTGTTCTCTGCAGTTGGGCAGGGCAGCAGTTATTTTCCCCATTAGACAGATGAGGAAACCAGGTCACGAGAATTTAAGAAACTCTCCCAGGAGTCTGCCTGCATCACTCTGTGACTGACTTTCCGATCCACCCTCTGCAGAGCCATGATCCCCACCTCTCACTGTAGCACTCGGTCATGCATCCCCGGTGACCTAGTACTGTGTTCTGGTTATTTACCAAGTAGAAGACATAAAAAACAGGTCTGTTGAACATGAACCAAACAAATGAAATAAAGGGACCCCTACATTTGTAAATGGAGTTGTGTTTTTAAACTGAGAATGTGATTTATACCAGCCCAGCTTCTTAAGAGTTGTTTGGCTTCTGACGATTTAATGTAACAAACTATGTTACGATTTAGCCGTTTTCTCGAAATCTCATTATTTACCTCTTTTTCACTTCTTTTCTCATAACTCCTCCTCATTCCAGAGCAGATTCTTCCAGGTGGCCAGTTCAGCAGCATTTTTCCTCCATAGTTTTCCTTGAGCCTTCCCAATAAATGTTTCTGTGGATATTCCTGAAATGGTTGCTTATAGGCATGTCTTTAAGAAAGTAGTTTTGGGGCACCTGGGTGACTCAGTTGGTTAAACATCCGATGGTTTTGGCTCAGGTCATGATCTCAGGGTCATGGGATCGGGCCCTGCATTGGGCTCCACACTCAGCAGGGAATCTGCTTGAGATTCTCTTCCCTCACCGTCTGCCCCTCCACTAACACATGTGCCTGCTCTCTCTCCAGAAAAAAGAGAAAGCAGTCTAATAATGTCTTTCCTATTCTGTAATGATTCAAAAGAACAGAGAAATATTAATTTTGCTTAAAGCTTAATTTTGAAATATGTCTTTATGTTGTCTAGTTTAGCACTTTATTTCAAATTTGTTTACCCAGAGTATTCCATCTGGCAGTCAATAAGAGCACGTTTATTTCTACACCCTCCAGTGTGTCAGGTACCGTTCTAGGCATTGGGAACCCAAATACAAACAAGCCAACTCAGCGCTTGAGGAGATCAGTTTTGACACTGAAACAGAAAAGCACATCTCCCTCTCAAGCACCTCATAACCATCTCTCTACCTGCTCCTGATTTGGGTTGTAAAAGTTATAGAACTATAAATTAAATAGAAGCTGAGAGACCATCTTTTTTTTCCCTTGATATGGAAACCGAGGCACAGAGAGGAGGTTAAATGACTGGAAGTCAGAGAGAAAGATTTAAACCCAGATCTTCCAACTCCCAAACTGATAGCCTTTCTGCAGTCATTTGTTATATTAGTTTGTCACCTTCCTTTACCACGATGATCTGGATTTAAGGCCTCAAATTAGGCAGGAACTCCACTGTAGTTAGGGTCTTATATCTAAATTGAGAATTCGATTATAAAGGAAAGACCATCTTGGAAATATGTAGAGAATATACACAAGTCACATATATCTCATCCATCTAGGCTTGCTGCATTGACACTTAGAAAACACAACCAGGTACTACTTAGGTCTTTTTATTAATGATGCATTGGCATCCATAGTGTTAGGGCAAAATAAAATTCTCTGACCTCACGGAACTTACATTCTAGTCAAGGGAAACAAAACAAGTTAATGAGCTTTATAGTATGTCAGAGGGTGAGAAGTGCTACGGACCAAAAACAAAAACGGACCTTAGTGGTCTAAGAAAAGGAACAAGGGGACTAGTTAAAAGACTCCTGCAATAGTTCAGATGAGAGAGGATGGCCCTTAAACTAGAGATGCCAGTGGAATGGCGAAAAGTGGTCATTTTTGGTATTTTGAAGGTAGATCCAAGAGGATCTCCTGACAGATTGGATTTTGGGCAGGAGAGTAAGAAAGTCAAGGTTGACTCCTAAACTTTGGGCATGAGAGACTGGAAAGATAACAGTTGCCATGTACTTAGCTGAGTCATGAATTCAGTGGCATCACTGTATGTATGTGGTTTCAGAAATATAAGATGAGAAATTTCTCCCTCAAAATGCCTGCAGTCTAGTAGACAAGACAGAAATAAATTCATGCACCTAATTATAATACTTCTTGTTTATTATGATGGGGGTCTCAGCCAAGTGCTGTAAAAGTACGCAGGAGAGAACACTGATCTCTAGCCAGGGAAGTGAGGAGGGATTCGAAGCAGAAGTTATGTCTGAACCCAGTTTATCATTCTTCTTGAGTTAGACATTACATGACTTGAACTTAGAAAGATAAATTGGGGGCGCCTGGTGGCTCAGTCATTAAGCATCTGCCTTCGGCTCAGGTCATGATTCCAGGGTCCTGGGATCGAGCCCCGCATCGGGTTCCCTGCTCAGCGGGAAGCCTGCTTCTCCCTCTCCCACTGCCCCTGCTTGTGTTCCCTCTCTCGCTATGTCTCTGTCAAATAAATGAATAAAATCTTTAAAAAAAAAAAGGAAAGAAAGATAAATTGTATTATGTTCACAGAGCTAGAACAATAAAGCAGTAAAGCAGGCTGGTAGTTATTTTTTGATTCTATGTCAGACCACAGTTACACATGATTGACCAGAAAGAAAAGTCAAAATCAAGTACTCTTTCCAACCTAGGACTGTACATATAAATATATACTATTTTCCGTTGCAGGAGCCTTTTTCCTTTATGCTGGATTCGCTGGTGTGGGACTCCTTTTCATCTATGGCTGTCTTCCTGAGACCAAAGGGAAAAAATTAGAGGAAATTGAATCACTCTTTGATAACAGGTTATGTACATGTGGCGCTTCAGATTCTGATGAAGGGAGATATATTGAATATATTCGGGTGAAGGGAAGTAACTATCATCTTTCTGACAACGATGCTTCTGATGTGGAATAATTTTCAGCTGCTGATATATTGAGGTATTTAAACAAACCTGGGGGACAAAAGCAGCAATTGGTGACCTCAATGCCCTGCTTTTAATCTGGATCTTTCCAGTCTAGTTTTGAATGACCTCATCTTCTAGAATATTTGATTAGGAGGAAGATACAACCATGATGACTTTTTTTTTCAAAAGCAGAAATGTAAAACAATATTTAGATATTTTAAACTAATAATTATTGAACAAATGTATGTAATTCCTTCCTGAGGTAGTCTAAAATGAATATTGTATCCAGTGACTTCAGTGGTATCCTTTTTTCCTAAAACCATATATAATTATTAGAGTCAGTGCTAATCTAGCTTAATCGTATATGTAGGATATACTTATGAAGAAGGATTCTGGAATAAGATCCAAGGGTGTTTTCTGTCAAAACAAGGCCTATTGGCCCTAAATTTTCCTAAGGACAAGTAGCTTATCTGTGATCAGCTATTAGAAAGTAAATTCTATTTGAGCTTTCAACAAATTCAGAAGTGCCTCCCACAGAGGCACGGTTGTCTTTACCTCCTTTGGATTCCACATTTTGGTCTCTCTCTCCAAATCAGATCTTTATAGAGTTCTTCAGAAACTGACTCTGCACAGGACCTTTTGAACATTATGAAAAGCAGGTCTTTTAGGGTTTATTTTCATACATATTTTTTGCATTGGTGATAAGTATCCATTTGCACAGATAAGCTAGCAAGTTTTGATAAGTATATTTTATTGCTAGAAAGTAAGAAAGAAAACATTTTTATGGATCCCTGATTTGAGTTAGTCACTTAGGTATGCAACTGTAAACACAAAATAGCACCAGATCTTCGATTGTATTTCAGGGTTTCTGTTCATGCCAAAATCACCTGATACTCACCACGCCTTCACTCATCGCCTCTGGAGTCCTACTATTTGTGCCTTCGTTTGTTTTAATATAAATAGCTGCTAGCAGACTATTTTTCCCCTTCTTTTAATCAAATAATTCCTGAAACAAAAAAGAAAGAAAGAAAATCAGTGACAGATAATCCTGCTGTTATTGATATTTTGTTTAATAGGGCGACTTATTTTTTCCTTAACTTTTTATTAACTCTTAAGAGAACTGTACTAGTCTTTTCTTACTTTAAGAACATAAACTCGTTTTTATTTTGCACACCCTTTTCTCATTTTCCTTCAGAATTTTATCAAAAAAAGATACAGATTTGTCTGTGGGTCTTTCCTTTTTCTCATACTTGGCTGGGATTTTTTTCCTTCTTGTCTAAAAATTAGGGTTTTCTATTGGAACAGATTGATGGTTCTAATATAGCATACATTTCTACAGTGTCTTCTCAAAGTGTTCATTGGTTTTTATGCTCATTCATCAATGAACTCTAATTTTTGCTCTTAAGAACTATACAGAATATACAAAATTACTTGCTAGTTCCAGTGAAAATAGGAATGAATTGTCTGTGGCCAGATAGGAATATATAAGTTTGATGGATTTTAATATGGCTCTAAATCTCTAATAAGGTACTCTTTGGAGTGAAAAGATGGCTATCTCTAAATTCAATGTGTGTTTCTGCCAGTCTCCAAGATGTTTTGTTCTTTGCTTGAAGTCTGGCTTATTCCTATCACTATTATCAAAACTGAGAATGTAGCCAAGGAGGTTTGTTCTCATAGCCACCGGGGGTATGATAAGTACTTGAACTGTCACTTTACTGGCCTAAAAATCCTTCAGCCAAAAAAAAAAAAAGTTTTCTCCTTTTGATCATTTCATACAATAAAAAAAATTTGAGAGAGTTTTTTTTCCCTGAATTAGGTGCTTTGACAATTGATTTCTAAGGGGATATTAATACTGATTTTCCCCCAGAAAAGCAGATGTGACTTAAGAGAGAAAATTATTGATATTTCTTATCCCATAAAAATTTCTTATCTGTGTAATACTTCACACAAGTAAAGTGAAGTGGAAAATGAGCTATTATGTGGTAAAATCAGAATATGATGGGAAGAAAAAATATTTAGACCAATAAAGTGCTCTCTAAAAATGTATTTTTCTGATTTATCCAAATAATTGCCTTGATTCTTCTCTTTATTATATACATAGCCTTAACTATATGCTTCTGTACTCAGCTGGGCTGAATGCACAGTAACTTTATTAAAGGAGCAACTGGACTTTTATTATTTCCTAAAACAGAACATGGCCTGTTCTCCCTGACATAAGCAAACGGTATATTCAACTTTATATCCATAAATGCACAGAGTAACAGGGAAAATTAGCCACAGTTCTCCTCCCCTATTCTCCTCAACCTCTCCTTTAAAGGACTATTTGTTATTTATATAGTGATAAAGACAATATTCCTTATCTTTGAAGTACAAGAAAGAGTGGCACAGTAGATTATTTATAATTTTTTTAAAAACAACTACTTAAAAAGAAACCTTATACAATTAGAGTATTATTTTTAGATTTGGTGAACCTTTATAGTATATTAAAAAATTAAACATTTGAATTTTGCAGGTTTTTTTATATTATGTACCTTTTAAGTTCTCAGCATCTTTGGCTACCACTATCAACTTGAAAACATTCCATTTGAAATATCATCAAATATATATTTGTAGGACAATTTATATATGGTATGATTTGAACTACCATATTAAAACAGATTAAGCATCATGCTTTTAACTGAAATTAAGGTTTCCTTCTAAGCATGCTGCACATTCAGTAGAGACATATTATGTTTTAGGAGCACATAGTAAAGAAAGTCATAACCCCTATTTGAGGCTTAGCTTGGTGGCTGATGAGATCTACCATAGACTAAAGAGAATATAACCCTTCATCTGCATCTGAACACATAGGGCTGAATGTGATGTCAGATAAATTTTAAAGATTTGGTATTAATAGTTTTCTTCAATACAAACAAACATTCCTAATAATTTTGACTGTTGCACCTTAGTCATTAATTACCCAAAACATGATTTTTAATGTATTTGTAAAAGATCTAAATCAAAACTAAATTTAAAAGGTAATACTTCCGTAATGCTGTCAAGTGCTTTTTCATAATTTTATTTTACCACTGAGCTAGATTTTAGTATATAAGAATCTAAATATTTCTTTAATTATTCACTCTAAAATGAGAATTCCATTAAAGCAAAAAACTTAGAAGTTGCTTACTATCATTTCAAAATCCATAATCTAGAGGAAGAATGAACAGGAAAAATGTAAACTGACAATTTACCCTTTTATTTATATTGGGAAGTAAAATTGGAATGTATTGTAATCACAGATTCTAGGGGGAGAATATTCTGAAAAAATACTATCTATATCTTATCTAAGAAAGTCTCACAACTTAATGACACTAACACGGTTTAGAAATATTGTCATGCAATTAGGGGGAATGGAAGGATTGTTTTATCGGCATAGTAATTAAGAACAATTAATGAGATTTTTGTTATAATCAGTTTTGTTTTGACCACTCTCCTGGTTATAAAATCTCAAATTATACTAAGCACCTTATAGCTTTCACATATACAGCTTGTTGCAACAAGTTTTCAGTTTATATCTTTTTACTAACTGCAAATAAAACCATGACCCAGCAGGCCCATGGCAGAGAATTCATAACATGTGCTTTACAGCAAAATCTATTAAATAGTGGATAAAATGTATAGCTGCCTATGAAAAAACTTAGAATTTTTCTCTGGAGTATTTTTAATGTCCTGTTTTCTGTCACTTATCAATTTTCTTAGCCTCATGTACAGAAGTGTTAAGCTGATTTGATGAAGTGATCAGGTGGTAGCAACGTATCAATTATCAGTACATTCAGTTCTTCTGGGTGAGAAATATTGTTTTCTGGAAATAGCAATCATTTTAAAATGCCAAATAGCTAACTGCTACCAACTCTCTTTTACGTTGTCTTTTAGAGAGGGAAATATTTGTGTGCCAATAATGATTAAAGAGCTATTTTGTAAGAGTGTCAATGATGTTCAGAAGTACATGAGAGAATTTTATCCTCTTAATTTGCCTGTGAGTGTAAAACGGTGTAATTCCTATAAATCTTTATATGTATAAAGCAGTCTTGCACTTGAGTGATTTGGTCTATGAAATGTTCAATAACTACTTTCATTTAGTAATATTCACATATTTATTTCACACAGTTAAGTTCATGTGTTTGATTTTTGTCATGTCACTATGAGAAAAAGGAATGCAGCTTACAAGTACTTAAACACTGATATTTTGTGAAGTTTTACAATTTTAGTAAAATTAACATCATTCCATCTCATTTGAAGATTAAAAAAAAAATGAGACTTAACTCTAGCCAAAGTAGAACTTTATATTCTACATGTCCAAACTGGTTCCTAGCAGCCTTTGGACTGTATCTCATTTGATGTTATAGTATCTTTATTTGTAATAAATGTTCAGATTTCTATTTAGAAGCTCTAATGTACATCTAGATTAAATCAAAAGTTTTATGCTTTTAAAATATGTATTTCAAAATGTATATTTTAATTTGAGTGCATGTTATAGTATTTAATATTTCACGTCTTGGAAAATTCAATATAAATATTTATTCTTACATGTGACATGGGATATCTCTTAAAAATTATGAATATGTATCATTTCCTTCAAAGTCATTCTAGCCTATAGCTGTATCAAAAGTATTGTATATTTTATGGAAATTTAGTGATGTATATGTAAATTTTTTAAGTTATTTTATTGAAGTTCAATCTTTACATAAAACTAAAATCTTTTTTTAAAAAAAGTGTCAGTGCCAGAACTATAAATGAAAATAAATAAAAGTTATGACAATTCATTAGTCATTTATCTCCTTTGCACTTTTGTATTTTCTCTAATTCTCTTCCTTTGATTTTGGATCTAGGTTACCCAGGAAAGGCATCTACAAAAATTAGTTATTTCTATATATTTATACAGTCCTCATTTTAATGATATTTTATCTCTTTTGATAATGGGTAAACTCAACTATCTTTAAAAATAAATATATAATACCTAAAAATTGTTCCAAGGAATTATTCTAAATAGTAAATATAAAACTTTGAAATGAAGTGCTTTAGGAACCCTTGAAGTATTTCTGGTTGTTTGTTGTCAAAACCAGGTGTGACACTGGGGCACCTGGGTGGCTCATTCAGTTAAGTGTCTGCCTTTGGCTCAGGTCATGATCCCAGGGTCCTGGGATCGAGCCCCATATCGGGCCGGGCTCCTTGCTCAGTGGGAAGCCTGCTTCTCCCTCTGCTGTCCTCCCCCTGCTCGTGCGCTCTCTCTCAAACAAATAATAAACCAGGTGTGACATAAGCCATTATGTTGGGTTGACAAGAACTGTATTTGCTTTGTAAATAAACACAAAATACCTGCTGGATGACCTGCTGACAGTTCCTTTTGGAACTCTATTGCTCTCCGTTGTCATTTTGCCCTAACTAACTGTAGCTTTTATTGGCAAGAAATTATCTACTGTTTGATCTGGGCAACTGTTAGGCTTATCTCTGTAGTTAGGGTGTGCCATCCTGAGCCCAACTGTAGAAACAGCCTGAGGAGATCCCATAAAGACACTAGATCCACTTGTCCAAAGGCTTATAATACGGGGGTCTCATGTCTAGGTGGCTTCCCCATGCACACAAAATTAAATTTTATTTTCTCCTGCTTAAAAAAAAAGGAGTTGCATTTAATCAAGGATTCTGATGCCAGCAACTAAGATAAAAATCCTACAGTCAGAATGACCCAAAGAAAATTCCATAAATTATGCATAAAGGGTCTACTCACCAGGACACCTAAATAATTGCAGTACATATTTGCATCACTGGTCAAAGTCCTCATTTAACTATCCAGTCCTGTGGGGTAAACATTGTAGTGCTTTTATGGGTACTAAACTTAAGTTCAGAACATTTTGATGACTTGCCCAAGATCACAAACTAGGAAGTAGTACAGAACTTCTCTCTGTGTGGACTACACCAATAGTCTTCCTCTCCCTGTCATCATTTGGAATGTCTTCTGGTCAGACCTAGGCAGAAAGATTACAAAATAAACATTGCGGAATTCCTGTGTTAGTTATTACTTAAAAGGTATGCAGAGGAAGAATCAGATACCTCATTTTAACCTGGTCTATAGACACAAATTCTGAAGATCTTTGGAGATTTTTTTCCAAATATGAAGCACTACATAGTACATTGTTTAAGGAATCAGAATGAGTACAAATTGCCAGCTTTGAATCCCAGCTTTTCTACTTACTGCCTGGT